TTGGGATCCACGAGACGATAACCAGATATTGTAGGAGTATATATCTAGCTGAATGTTTTTCTCTAGCATTTCAGAAATAATCGAATCAACTTTATCATAGTCTTTGAGATTCATATAAAGTGTCATCATCACATTAAATGGAAGAGATTGCAATGCATGCCCCTTAGTTCTCATTTTATCCAGTAATGCTTCTGCCTTCTCTTTCATTCTAGCCCGAACATAGGCATTGAGTAGAGCCCCATATATTCTCCTGTCCTTTAATGTACCTGGCAGGCTCAGGAAGTAATTTTCAGCACTAGCAACTCCCCGAACTTTAGCAACTAAATCTAGTTGAATTGCAGCATCACTAGTGGATATTCTAAACCTCTCTCCTCTGTTGCTCATCCAATCATACACCTGCAGGGTGCACGAAAAATACGGAAAATCAGGTAAATTTAGTATTTAAAAACTTGTATCCTCAGACTTCTCCATTTCATTCCGTGATAAAATCTTAATCTCTCCTGTTTGGGTTCAAATGAGTCAAAACCTTCCATACAGTGTTAGAGCCCTTATGATATACGTAAATTTAGTATGCAAGTTATATTTTCATTTGCAGATATTGGCTTATCAGGAAAACTGAAGGTTTGACTCAATTGCACTAGAAGGTGATGAGAGAAGTTTTAAGAGTCGGCCTGTTACATTCACTAAACAATTACAAACGAAAATTACTAAAAGTTTCAGGCCATATTCACAGTTCTAAGATTCGGCCTGTAATGAAAACATATTTTCCAGACATTTTCCATTTCGCAATCACGATATAATTGGGGATTTGTTATCTTATAACATGCATTCTAACATAAAAAATCGCCAGACATACCAACATCTAAAAATCTCAGTGTTCTTTCAGCTAACAGACTCAAAATAGGCCTTTAAACCGGTAGTGGTAACTGGTTGCTTATCATTTTAGGCCAAGAGTTTCCGAATACTGATATTACAACCTAGAGAAACATATGAACTGCATTACCTATATCAATGCATGATCGTACCAAAACAAGAGAAACAAAACTTCCAGACCAATCAATTTAAACAGTAAATTTGAATTTTCACTTACCTATCAATGAAAGTACACTCAGAAACACCAAATTAAAAAAACCCAATATAGAATTTACCCAGGAGCATAAATACACAAGATTAAACTGAAGCATTTCCCCACAAAACCATGAAATACCCAATAACCAGTACACCCTAAAACCACAAAATAACTGCACAAGATAAGATTTTTCGGTTAAATATTTCACTTTTATTTGTACCTCAAGAGCTCTATCATAGCGCTTGTACTTCCTCAATTCCTTGACCACTCTACAAAGCTCCCACTTGGTGAGCTTCCTGCCCTCCTTCTCCCACTGGTTCAACACGTCTGCAGACCGGACTTGGGGATCCTCCGTGAGCGATATTTTCCGGTAAATGGCATTCCATTTGACCATGGGCCTCCGCTCGTAGTCCACAGTGCCATAGTTGTGGACTTGGGATATGGAGCATGAGATGGTGGGGAGTTTTTGGAAATTTAGGAAAGTAGGGAGGGTCAGAGTTGGGATTTTGTACCGGAAGGGGAGGAAGTAGGGGAGAGTGGCGTTGTGGTGGTGGTGGACGGAAGTTTGGGGAAGCATTTTGTTTAGTGGAGGAGGAGGAGGGTTTATTGGGAATGGGAAGAGAGAGATGGGTTGGTTTGCGTAACAGAGACATAGGTTGGGTTGGAAGATAAAGTTTGTGAAATTACTTCATGGCCCTATTGTTACTTATTTTCTTATTCGCTTTCTAGTTAAAGTGGTGATTTAGATTTTTATGACTCTTCATTTTGATCTTTGTGATTGAAAACCGCTAGAAATGATCCCTAAATTTATCTACCGTAAATCATCTTAATCATTCTATAAAAAATATGTCAACACCATCGTTAAATTGTCACTTGAGCAACCACATGATCACCTTTTCCAGGATATTTTGTCAAACCAACCCTCATTTTTAGCTAAATAGTTTATAAGATTGTCGTAACTCTTTATTTAGTCTCTGACAATGAAAATCGATTGAAGTAGCTCTTAAATTTGTCAATCATAAATCATTTTGATTATTCCGTGAAAATGAAGGAGATGAAGAAACTCAACCAAAATTTGACCAATAAGTACCTAAAACACTAATTAAATAAATAAAAAAAGTGCACAAATGAGATGCAATGAGCGTTTGGGCTACTGAATACTCATTCTTAGAGGTTTAGTAGCATGTTAGTTATGTTTATTTGCCAAAATGTGTGAAGATCGTGAAACACCACCAATGTTTGACCCAGTAAGTGCCTAAAACACTCCTTCAATGAAAAATGCGCACAAATGAGATGCAATGAGCATTTGAACTTTTGAATACTTATTCTTAGAGGTCTAGTAGCATATTAGATGTGTTTACTAGTCAAAATGTGAAGATGGTGAACCTTCACCAAAATCTTCTCATTAAATGGAGAGGTTAGTTTGACAAAAATACTAACGTGGTCTGTACGACAGGCTGTGCGAAGTATCGCAAGTTACCTACGAGTCGGAACCACTTAGTGTGGTCTGTACGACAGGCTGTCACCTTTCTTAGATCTAAGGTGAGCGTGTGGTATGGGAGGTGAACGATCACGTGAGGCTAGGCCCTGTCCTCAGGCGGAGTACTAACACCAGGGTGCAGGATAATGAGCTATAAATACATCTTAACACAATCATACTCACTACACTACCATCAATATATACTCACCTGAGACTTACCTGAGCGTCAGCAGCATCAAGCAACAATATATATAATCATACTAATCAAACATAAAGAGCATTTGACATGGCATTTCAATATATAAAACCATTTAAATAAGTTTTCTGGGAAAAATACCAAGTATATATATATACTAAAAAAACCAAAAGCCCACTCACTGATATATGGAAGGGTCGTAGCCCCCGAGTTTCACTTGACTACGATCGCCCTCTGGATAGGTCTCACCTATATGCGAAACAACTATTTAAACGTTATTTTAAAGCATAAACAAAACTAGTAATAACTTCTCATACGATGCTCAATTGGGGTGTTTGAATATACCAACGTGATCTACTCAACCCCACAAATATCCCCATATTTTTAGAATAATTTTTCGAGCACCCACACACCCTCACGTGCCGGCCAAGGCATGGCCACACGCGCAGGCACGTGCCTGGCACACCAAACGGAATAGTTAACGCCGTTAAGGAATATTCCATAAAAAATCAGCATATATCGTTATTTTTACCTGATATTCTGTCAAAATTAACGGAATATGCTCCTTCTCCTTCCTTGGTTCGTTGGAGTTCGGTGCTGGCCACCGCTACGTCGCCGGTTTCTGGAAAAACTTTAAAGCTTCATATCTCACTCATTTTTCAACCAAATTCCTTGAAATTTGTACCAAAATGAAGCTTAGGATGAGAAGAACACATTCTTACCACTTTAAGGTCCTAAAACCAATGAAATCTCGCCAGAAAAATCTCGATAATCCAGCCACCTCTGCAACTTGATGAACTCGAGTATCCTGACATCCAAATCACTCCAAAATTCTTCTATAAGTTTCGTGAAGAAGTTTTAAGACCTCCTATGACCTTAGAACTCAATGAAAGCTATAGCTCGACTCTTAAGCTTGCAAGGAGCATGAAAACTACTTCCACAACTTCGATCCGTGAGTGATGAAGTTGGTTGAGAGGTTGTCCGTACAGTTGTATGGAAATGGAAGAAAAATCTGAGAGATAGAGAGGTCAACGGGTTTGTGTGGGTGGGTGTGTGTTGTCCAAGTTTGGGCAACCAAACAAAACAAATAAAATTTTAAGTTCCAACTGGGTCCAAAAAGTTAGGAAGGAAAATAGATTATCCAAAAGCTTAGCCCATTTGCACACACAACCACACAACGTTCAAGGGAAAAATGGTCATTTCACACCATCAATAAAATATTTCGAGACAGGCTGTCACAAGAACCCTAATGCCTTCTTAATTTGATTTCTCCAAAACTTTTTTTTTTCCCTCTAGTTTTAATATTGCAGATTGTCTTATTTTTATTAGTTAAATTCGTTTTATTAAATTAGGCCATAAAAATCAATCACCTCAATTTTCTCCTTTACAACAATTATTGGAATTTGATTTGCTTCGATTTATTAAATAATCCCTATGGAGAACAACCTTACGAGATCCATTTATATTACAATAACCTTGTCATTCTTGCAAGTATTATATGAGTTTTTCGCCTGTTTACATGTGTAGTAAAATCCCTATCAAGAAAATGGCGCTGTTGTTGGGGATTATTTAAAATAATTCGTTCTAAACAGATTCTACATTAATTATTGTTGTACGTATAAAATAAAATATAAAAAATAAGAAAAAAAATTAATTAATTAATTAATTTTTATTTTTACAGATCAGGCAGTGCAGATTACAATCTGTGCATGGTCAGCACACGTTCAACAGATAAAAAATTGATTCCATTTGATCCAGAACCTGAGCATACGTTGAGAAGAAGACACAGGGAACAAAATTTGCAATGGGTTCCTTCTTTGCAGGGGATTTTTCTGCAGTCTTTATTTTATGGGGTTCTACACAGCAAAGAGACAATGACTTTTGTTATTCCAGAGGTTGGTCAACCTCTGGGTGATTCACTAATAGCTCACAACACTAATATACCAAGTTGCATCACTTATCTAGAAGTGGAGGAATGGTCTACATTCGAAACAAAGCAGCACATGTTGAATATTCTACCTACATTTCATAGGTTATCAACCGACGATCCTAACATGCATATTGTAGAATTTTTAATGGGATGCAAGAATATTTTGGTGAGAGGATTATCAGCCAAATCTATTAAGCTCCGTTTATTTCCATACACTCTGAAAGATCAAGCAAAGAGATGGCTCCTCATACTTCCATCAGGAAGCATCAGTACTTGGGCCCAACTCAACGAAATTTTTTTAAGCAATTAAGCTTCAAAGACTCTTGACATGAGAACTAATATTTTATCTTTTTCCCAAAAACCAAATGAAGAGTTTTATGAGGCATGGGAACGGTTTAAGGACTTGATTAGAAAATGTCCACATTATGGTATTAATAGTACTGATCCAATGCATATATTTTTCAGAGGGTTAAAAATGACAACAAAAACTCTTGTCAACACGTCATACAGAGGTTCGTACAAGGATAAAACTGCACAAGAGGCTTGTTTATTATTTGAACAAATGGCAGCAAATACACAATAATGGGCAGTTGAGCAGCCACAATCTAGGGCTGTTTTTGAGATGTCTAATGGTTCTCTATATGTGTCAGCACAAATTGAAAAAATGGAGAAAAAACTTGAAAGATTTGATGCAAAATTTGACATGTTATTACAAAGAATTTTAGGTTCACAGGTTACATATAGCAGCCCTTACAAATTGCCTGCAGCATTTGCAACATGACAACCCATGATTTTTTGAGTTGTCCACATAAAACAACTTATCCAGAGTTTATAGCGAAGCAGGTTAATGCATTTAATAATTTTCAGCATCCTCAATATGACTTGTAGTCAAATCTCTACAACCCAGGTTGAAAAGATCATCTTAATTTAAAGTGGGATAGAGATCAACATGCTAAACAACAATTTCAACAACACATACAACAACCTGCTGAACCTAAGGCTACTTGGGAGATAGCAATTGAAAAATTAGCAAATACTACTAGTCAAGAAGTCCAAAATCTGCATGCATCAATGAAAAATATGAAAAAACAAATTGAGCAGATTGCATTGTAAGTTTCAGAAAGAGATTCACGGGCAGCACCATAACCACAAACAGATTTGGGAATTTTGCAAAATCTAATATTTTTGCAGATTCTGCAATTTTTGCATATTATGGGCAGCCACAAGACAGATCCAAAAATGTTGTAGAAGCTACCACAAAAACTGCAGAACGTGTTTATGTGCCTACAATGCCTTATCCCGAAAGGTTGAAGCTTAAAGCACAGATCAACAAATGACAGATTTTATGAAGACTTTGGCTAAAGTTCAAATTAATCTTCCATTAATTGATGCAATCAAGAACATTCCATCTTATGCCAAGTTTTTTAAGGATGTTTGTAAAAAGAAAAAGAAGCTTGTGGATTCCAAAAAAGTGGTTCTAACGGAACAATGTAGTGTGGTCTTATTGCATAAATTGCCTCCAAAGAAAAAAGATCCAAGGAGTTTTACTATCTCTTACATCATTGGATATTGTGATTTTAGTAGTGCTTTAATTGATTTAGGTGCTAGTGTAAACTTAATGCCCTATTCTGTTTTTAAGCATTTAGGTGAAAGAGAGCTGAAGCCAACCTCCAACATTATTCAATTGGCTGACTGTTCAATTACCTATCCTAGAGGGATCATTGAAGATGTTATTGTGAAGGTTGACAATTTATATTTACCAACCGATTTTATGGTGTTGGACATGGATGAGGATATGACAACACCCATCACCTTGGGTTGTCCATTCCTAGCAACAACCTGAACTCCTATTGATGTTGAAGCCGGAACACTAACATTCCGGGTTGAAGATCAATGGTTGTTTTTAGGTTGTTTGAAGCTACCACACATTGCTGCGATGAAAGTTAAGCACTCAAATTAAACCCTCTTGTTGTCAAATTGTAGTAAAAATGCAAGTAGGGATCGTTCTAAACCGGGGATTAGGAGGCCTTGCTAAAACCTCTAAACTAACTCAAAAACATAAAAACAATGTTAAAAACATTTGAATAGACTCAAAGGACTCAAAACAGATTCTAAAGACGCAAAACAACTTAAAAACACTAACGAAATAGAAATTTAACACTTTGAAACAACAAAGTAAAGGGGGGATTTTGGTTTTGACGAATTCGAAACAAACAAACAACTTATAAAATTAGACAGATTGTAAAACGAATTTAAGAAATGAGATGATGGATGGATTAGTTAGAGGTCCGTTCTTCGCACATGACACACTTGTACATGAATTGATTTCCAATTGCTTTTCAATAAACTATGATGCTCAACACCCCAGATTAACCGAGATGCACAAATTAACCCTCAGATTTTCCTTTACTCATTGAGTTGGATGAATGCATGCAACAACCCAAATCATTCTCTAAAAGTCCCCTATATGAATGTATAATAGAGATACAATCAGAGATCATTACTTTCAATGAAAATCATAAGTGTTGACGAGGCAATTATAACTATGAATGCATGATACATTTGCCAAGAACCCAATCAACGCGATTGTGATAAACAACCTTCACTACTCATGAATATAAACTTGTAACGATTAGGTTAAACTCATTTATATTCTAGCATCTAATTCATGCATGAAAACTAAGTATGCATCCTTAATAAACATACAAGAATCAATTATGAATAGAATAGATAATTGAATTGCAATCACAACTATCAAATCACAAATGGAAGAAATCAATTCATATCTCAAGCATGTTCATGGCTTCAAACTTCCCCCTAACTAAATAGGGGTTTAGCCACTCATAATTGCAACAAAATTAGAAAATAACAAAGTAGACATTGAAAGCAAAAGAATGAAACAATCCAACTTGAATGGCAAGCACGTCCAAAGGTCCTCATTCTTCTCTTTGTTGCGGCACAATGTGTGGTTTGATGAATGGATGGTCTCTTGTGGTGGTGGATGGATATAGGTGAGTTATGGTGAAGGGTGGAGAGTTGTGTAGATGATGTGGTGTCTTTGGATGATGGCCCCCAATTATGGTGAAGGGTGGATGTATTTATAGGCTAGGGAGAGAAGTGTATGGAGTTGTAATGAGTGGATGTAATGGGTGTATTGGGTGAGTGTTGTGGTAATGAGTGGATGTAATGGGTGTAGTGGGTGGATGTTTGTAATGAGTGGATGTAATGGGTATAGTGGATGGATGTTTTGTAATGAGTGGATGTAATGGGTGTAGTGGGTGGATGTTTGGTAATGAGTGGATGTAATGGGTGTAGTGGATGGATGTTTGGAGTTGTAGGTCAACACACTTGAACACACACATGTTGATTTCTAGCCCTCAAATCTTCAAAAACGTCCATCCTCATGTCTCCATGCTTGCACTATCCAATCTTGGCTAAAAAAATGCTCTAAAATGCTCCAAAATGCACTTTCTTGCCAACTTTGTTATTATGACCTATAAGCACACGAAAATAGCTTAAAATACATAATTAACGAAGAAATAACAACACAAATGCACAAGAACAAGCTAACTAAGTCGCATAAATATGCTCCTATCAAATTCCCTCACACTTAGCTTTTGCTAGTCCTCGAGCAAAACAAAAGAAACAAAACGAAACAAAACAAACAAAACAAACAAAACACAACCTAACCTTCCAACATTTGCCTCAGGGATTTTCAATGAAACATGACATGCCAAAGATCACCACTTACATAGATTTAAGCATTCCTTACCCTCGAGCATACTTAATCATAGTCACCATTCACTAGCTCACATTTAATCAATTAAAACATCATTTTGAATATAGTAACATGCCTTAGAGAATTCCCTCAATTTCTTACAAGATACTTTCTATTTTCACACACATTTTCTGACTACACACCTACACTAGTATATATGAGAAGATTAATGTAAACACGAAAGACTAGGACTCACATATGTTATAACAAATAAAGCAATTTTCTGGAGTTATTAAGCATGTTTAGAAATGATCTTATGAATGGAATGCTACTACTTAGATGCGAGAACCAGTGACACCATATGCTCATATCAATTTCAAACTCCACAAATTGAAACACACAACACTCAAGATAAAGTTAAGGGTTGTAACGGGGTTTAAGGGTAATGACTAACAAAGAAAGGATAAGGATAACAAACGTTCTGAAAGCAATAGCAAGCTAAGTAATGAAATAGACACTTGGAATTCCCTTAATAATGCATAAATTAACCTTTAAACACAAAGGGAAGATTCAAGCAACACTTAGGGCCGAATTCAATGTTTTGGACCATTTCTTCAACAAACAACACTTTAGAGCTATTTGTTCACATATTTTTCAACTCTTTTTCACTCTTTTCACAACTTTTCTTCTTTCATTCTATTTTCCACGAATGTTTCTTTTTTTTTCTTTTTCTTTTCTACCTGTGCCTTATTAAGGACTTTGGCACACACAGACACACACACAAGAATCACTCCCCCACACTTGTTTTTCTGCAAAAGTTCAACAAAAGGAATTCTTTCTAAATTATGTTTTACTATGCTTCAAGAACAAGGGTATGGATGATCCTAATCTAGGTTAGGTGAGGATAGTGTGGGTTAACAAAGAACATAGGCTACAAAAGGCTCAACGGGGTTAAACTTAAACACATAATGAAATAGGGCACGACAATTTGACTGTGGTGGTCACTACACAACTTCATCTTGAATATGTGTTATGCAAATCAATAGCATGTTTTGAATGAAATAGACATGAGTTTTATCATTTCGAACTAAATGATGAAACGCCTTCTAAGTAGCAACCAAGCAAAGAATAATGAGATCATGCAATGACTTTAGAAAACAAAAAAATTGCACAAATTAATAACTCTCCAAATAAACGTTTAGGCTCAAGTCTCACAAGGTTGTAGCGTTCATTTGAGTTCCTTCCTTCAAGCATGTTACAAAAATTGATTTTTCCTTTATGATTGCATGTGAATTCATAAATTATAACCACAACCAAGCATACACCAAAGAGTAAATCAATTTTTCATCCATGTTTATAACTCTCTTTAACAATCATGTAATTAAAAACCAAATCCTCATCATTGTGTTGGAAGGTACCCTAAGACACAAATAAACATACAAAAATAACTCTTTTTGGGTTTTCAAAACAATTTTTTTCAAATTTTTATGAAACACTTAAAACAGCAAGGAACAACACTAGAAGTAATGGGTGATAAACTCCTACGAATTTCATGCAAAACAACTTGGTTACCCCCTCACACTTAAATCAAACATTGTCCTCAATGTTTCAAGCATATACTCACACAAAAACAAGCAAATAAACAAACAATGAATAAACATGACAAGTATGGCAAAGTAAAAATTAGACAGAGTAGAGTTTAAGAATGCAAATC